AGGAGGAGAATTAGAGGAGGAGGGGGAGGAGGATGAGGAGGAGGAGGAGGAGAAGGCAGAGGAGGAGGAGGAGGAGGAGGAGGAGGAGGAGGAGGAGGAGGAGGGGAGGAGGAGGAGTGGGAGGAGGAGGGGGAGGAGGAGGAGGAGGAGGAGGAGGAGGAGGAGGAGGAGGAAGAGTAAGAGTAAGAGTCCCAGGGCAGTGTCCACATCCCTTGACATCAAAACGGGAGCCCCTTCTGTGCTCGCCTGGTCTTCTCCTTGGTACTATATACTTTAGGCCATAAACCTCTCTGAATTCGATCGAGATACTCAGCTCGGGTAGACGAAACCTGATCAGGGCAGGCTCTTCCTAACCCAACGAGCTGCTGATCACAAAACATACCACACGACGCACAGAACCACACCTAGACATCCTGATTAAACCGCATCTTGTGCGAGACATGGACAACTCCCCCCGCGAGGTGCAGCTCGACCCCCCTTGGAAGAACCCGAAGGGACCCATCTAGAGCAATCAACCTGAAACACGGAGAAGCACGCCACTTCCGCAACTCGGAGCTCGACGAGGACCCGCGACACCGACGGCACCGACGCCCCGATTCGTCGAGCGCGTGCTGGGTGTTAAAAACAGACAGGGCCCCAGGACAAGGGGGAGGCGGAGGGGGAGGAGGAGGAGGAGGAGGGGGTGAGGAAACACCGCTCCCGACTCCTTCACTCACAACTCCGATCGGACCCGTCCGCCCCTGGCGCCCAGCCTTCTTCTCGAGCTCCTCCGCGGCCAGGGCGTCCAGCGACGCCCTCAGCAGGCGCATCCGCACGAGGAACGCCTCGTGCTCCACCTGCTGCACCTTGGCCCTGACCGCCTGCGGCAGCCGAGCCTCGCTCGCTGCCTCGCCCGCCAACCTGTCGGCCAGCGCGCTGCCCCGCACCAGCCACAGAGGCGTGCCGATCTCCTCGGCCTCCGCCTCGGAGAGGTGCGAGTTCACGAACAGGACCACAAAATCAGCGGGGTCCCGCTCCTGGAACTCGATGCCCACGAATGCCCAGAGCTCAGCCAGGTCCCCTTGCGGGTGGCGGTACCGCTGTGCATACCATCCATCGTACACCATCTTATTATCACACACATACACTGCAAAGTCGCTAGTCAGACGCGCAGCCATGAGGAGCATCGTCAACTCTCCGCGCGGCACGGTCTGCTCACCAACAAGCGGACCCTGCAGCGTGGCGATCTCCTCCAGGTCGGCCTCCGACTTGACGACTGACAAACCACGCCCGACGCGACGGAACTTCGGGTCACGGGAGTCGGGCCCTCCACTAGCGCCCCCGAACATCACGATGGGCGCATACTCTGCTCCTGGCCCCAGGCTGTTCTCCTCCGTGCCGTTCAGTAGAGCGCCTGTACCTGTCCACGCGGCTGCTGGCGGCGGCGACGGCAGACTGGTCCATGCCTTGGGAATGACACCCCTCAGCCAGAAAGCCTCGTCCGCCAGGTGCTGGGTCGTCGCCTTCGGCACCAAGGCCTCCGACTTGACGTAAGCCTCAGCACCTGCGTTGTGCCCACATCCCCAGTACTTGTGGAAAGCGTCTTCCTTCTTGGCCTTGCACCGCGGGCACCACGGGCTGACCTGGATCTTGGAGGCGGACTCTGCCCTCCGTGCCCTGGGCCAAGCTCCACCAGCTGCAATAGAGACAAGAAGCTCCTCCAGTCGCCGCCCACGTGGCAGACGCTGAATGCACCGAAGCAGAAGCCGCAGTGAGAAATGATCTGCTCCCTGCTCCAAGCCAGCCCCACAGAAATGCTTGGCTGCCCGTTCCCAGAATCCAACAGCAGAAGAATAATCGAAATCGACGAAGAAGTCACTACGATTGTTGAGAGCCATCTCTGCGTTGTACTCGGCTTCAGGAAATTGCCATGAGATATCGTCCGAAAAATGCCAACACGTCGGTGACTCGGGTACCCATCCGCGCTCAATCAAGGTTAAGATGGTGGCCGACAACGGACCGCGGACCCACCGTGAACGATGAGATGGTGGCGTATTCTGGAATCTTTTGACCAACAGCGGCCACGCACGGTAGACCCCTGGCCGAATCTGCGCCCGAGTAAACCATTGATGTAACCATAAACTCAAAACTCCACGAGGCATCTGAATACCAGGGTCCGCCGATTCGCCACGACTAGACAAGAGAGTGGTAGTGCACATGCCTTTACCCCCTGAGCTGGACACCGCGGCTAACTCTCTGCGACATTGCTGGAGACGTCGGCCGAAGGTCCCATGGATAGACTGACCGAAATTGCCTGCGGCCTGTGCCCCCATCTTCTCCAGACGAGCCGTGACGTGGTATCTTTTTGAAGCCCGCGCAAAACGAATCACTTTGGAATGCAGCTGCCGCTGCTTCAGTCCACGTTTGGTGCGAACCTCGCGGGCAGTGCGACGACCGCCACCCTGATCCACTCCAAGGAAGCCAGCCTGCAGTTGCGCCCTCACAACCAAGCCCCGCTTCC